GGATAGTCGAGAGTAGACTCTCTCCTAAAAATTTAAATTATTATATACTTTAAATATTTTCTTTTTATTTTCTAGTAAAAATCTATTTTCGTCCTTAAAATTTATAAGTTTATCGTTACATAAATTTTTTAATATTCACACGTTTAGCATAAAATCATACGTCTATCTCGATGACAGTAACCTCTAAAAAAAGTAGTTTAAATTTAATAATCAAAATTGGTCAAGTGACTCGATTGACTCAACTGCTCAGTTTAATAGTTTTATTATTGAATTTCTCAATTTAATGGTTCAAATAAATCCAATGGCTTAATTGGTATTTTCTTTAAAAGTCCATACTTATGATTATAACTAGGATAAATTACATCCTTACTCATCTAACTATTAGAACGCTTTTGTTTTGATCATAGAAATGTAAAAGCTTTCAATTCCGTCACTAATGTTTTCAGTTTTTTCGATTTTGAACACCCTAGATCGTTAATGAAAATGGTGGCATGACTTTTTTTTCAATTGTGCATAATAACACAGTCAATCCTCAACATTTACACATCCTATCAATTTGATCATAAGTAAATTTAATTCTTTACATTTACCAATTCTATCGATTTGCGCTTAATATTAAAGCAATATTGGAACAAATCTATAAATAAATAAATAAATAAAACTCGAAACATTATCTTTAATTTGTGCACATCGATACCATAGATTGAAGAGAGTTTTGATCCTCAACATTCTTAACTCAGTACCATAGAGAAACATTACCAATGTGGACTTCTCTTCCGGTATTAGTAATTAGAAAGCTGAATATGAGATCTTACTTGTTCAGCAGCAACTCTATGCGGATTTTGTGACTTGATGAATCGCATTTGCCAAATATTCGACATTGCCAGTCGTAACACCCGCCATACTGCATTTTTTTTGTTTGCAGCAATGGCAGATACTGAGTCCTGATACTCCGGAAAGAATAAGGAACTAGTTTCTCGAAGATATTTACCTGATTCGACCGTTTCGAGTCATATAGATGTGGAATTCATTCGTCGAGCGATCCACCTGTTCCGGTGTCAACCCGCTGTAGCAGAACATGCCTATCTGCTTGAACTTCCAAGAGTTAACAAAATTCCTGGGAAACAAAATTTGACAAACTAAACATACCTGATTAGTGATGTGCTGCCATGATAAAGGGGAACCTAGCTTTTCAAGGTTCCCTCGTAAAGCAGTTCACATTCCAATTATGCGATCAGCCATGACCTGCAGACCATTTGAGTTATCTATTTCAGATGATCTTAAAAGAAGATTACACAGATGGTTTGTTTATAACATTCAACTATGTTCCCCCTTTAGGGTTGGCATTGCAATGGCATTAGATATAGGAAATTCACTAAACTTTGTCAACAAGTCATACCGCCCCAAGGGATACCCAACTGTCCACCAAAGTAAAAGTTTAAAAGAGGGTTCAGTTTTTTTTTTTTTTTGGGGGGGGGGGGGGGGCTATGTCCCAAAGGGTTTAATTTCTATGTACGTGCCTCCATGGGTTTTCGATAATCAGTCCTAGTTCCGAAATATGCAATAAGGACATCATTTCCCTGTGGACACTACACGCAGCTTATTTCCTTTCGTGCAATTAGCCTAAATACAAAAGCTTCAAAAAGAAACCACGCAATTACCTTAACTTCTTTCAGCCATAGTTTCAAGTCTGGATCACCAAGAATCGTCAAAACTATGAGAGCACCATGAACAGGTGGGTTGCGGTACATGGGTCTTGCAAGCTGCTGCAGTTGACTTTTTACTTCTACTGTTTGTTTTTCATCTTCACAAATCACACTGCAGGTGTTATTGCAGAATTGGTATCAGGAAATAAAACCTTGTAAAGGTAAAACGTTGTGCATTCGTTGACAATGATAAGGGAATTACCTGAGGCAACCTACTCTCTGGCCATAAGTGTCCCATATTTTTTGCATATGATTCTGCAATTCCTATATGATGACCATCTTCAAGAAAAATCCTGATGGACTTTGCATCTCTCTCTGGGTCACCGCTCGCAAAACCTTGATAGGCCATGTCGAAAAAGGAAAAATGATCTTTCGCCTAACAAAAATGAATATGTTGTTTCAAAAAGTACAAGGCTCAGAAACAATTGGATTGGAGATCAAAGAAAAATGTGAACATGAGGATACAAATTCTCTCATGAAATGAGTTGGGTAAAGAAAAGGGTGCAAAAAAAGCTTTTACCTTGATGTGGTGTGAGATTTCTCTCCACTGCTCCTCTGTAGTCTGTAGGATCCACGCCAGTGGGGTTATGAGCACATGCATGAAGTAGAAAGACTGAACCATTTGGAGCATTCTGTGAAGAAAGAGAGGCATTTCCTTTAGCAATGATTATACACACAGAGAATCAAGGGGAGTTCAACAAATAAAAGGAACCAAAAATAAGGATGGGATATTAATTAATATGTTCAGATACAAAGAACGATCCTTGCATAGCTTGATGTCATCCATCATTGCTGAAAAATCCAGACCTCTCGATTCTGGGTGATAATAATGGTAGGTTTTCTGAGGTACTTGAGCATCTCTCCAGATATTGTGGTGGATGTTGATTTCTCATATTACAAGCAACATAAGTAATAAATTAAGTGAAAGAGAGAGAAGGCTAGATTATAATTTCTCAATCTGATAACTGAACTTGTACAGATCCTAAAAAATGAGCTAAGACAGAGAGAGAAAATAGTATAGAGTAACGGCAACATAGCAAGATGGCTCACTTTGACCAAGTAGGGACTGGTATATGGATTTGGGTGTCGGGGCAAAAACGCTTTTGAAAGTCTGCAAAAAGTCGGCATGCACCAGTCCCAGACAATGCTTGCACTTCTGCTATCCTTCTGTCTTTTATCAACTCAGAATTCTCACCATAGGCCAACTTCAGTGTTTCTTCCACCATCTTCACACTTCCTCCCGTAGGAAGATATTCCCTGGTAGAAAGAAAACATATGGATAACATTTCTGTCAAGGTCCCAACACAATCCACTTCAAGGAGTCAAACCGAACAGTTCATCTATATCTGATCTTCTAATTTTACCAAGCTAACTAGCAAAATTTAGTAATGCCATCAACAGAGCCTTGGCTTTCCATGTACAAATAAATAATAATAATTAGAAAAATCCAACTAGTTTACATTCCAAAACAACCGGCTCCCCATTATCATCACGGTAAGCACCCTGAAAACAAGTCCAGAACATTATTAACAACTCCATTGCTTTTGGATTTTCAACAACAAAAAGAAATTTGCGTAGCTATATCAACAGGTTTCAAATTCAATGGTCCGTCTCACCTTGTTGCGCTTTAAATTACTATTCAATCATCCTTTCTTTAGTCGTCACAGCAGAATTCAACTTAACTACCGAGCGATGATATATGTCTTTCACGTGTGTGTATCCGTCTAATATGTATATTTCAAACATATTTCACAAGAGGACGAGTGATGTAGGAAGAGTTGGAAGGGGAGAAGGACTTGTCGAGAGGCACGACGTAGTTTGAATTAGGTACTCCCTTTTTAGCATCGCTGCTGCCATTGTTGCCGCTTCTGCTGCAATTGAAAAGGCCGTGGAATCGCCATCTCCGCGCGGTCTCAGCCGCGACTACCAACCAGCCATTCCTGTTGCTGCTGTGGTTGTTTGAATCGGACACCGGCTGCGGTGACCGTTGCGAGAGAAAGACGCCGCCACCTCTTCGCAATTGTATTGACATGTCCCGATAAGCTCGTTTGGTCAAATGCTTACCGTTCTTATTTATTTACTACTTTCTCTTGTCTCGCTTCACCACTTGTACTTTAAAAACAAAATAGATAAAACTACCAAAATGGTCACCTTAGTTTCGTGTTCTTTTTTTTGGGTAACGTTATCAATTTGTAACATTTTGATCTCTGAAATATTAGATACTATTAATTTTGTAACATAGCATGTAATTTATTTAATTTGATGTCTGGAATTTAGATAAAATATTGACTTATTTTTAAAATTTTCAATAAAATACAAATTTGACTCCTAAAGGTACCTAAACTATCAGTTTTGATCCGTTTTAGTACTTAAACTTTCATTTTTTTCGAAATCATACCTAATGTTAGTTTTCGTTTCATTTTGGTATTCATAGTTAAAAACTTAACGCATTTAGTGCCTAAACTATCAATTTATCTATTTTAGTATCTAAACTTTTAATCTTTTCAAAACTTAGCATTAAATTTTGAACGGAGTACTAAAATAAAACAAAAACTAAAGTTTTTAACGATAGTTACTAAAATGAAACAAAAACTAAACATTAGGTATAGTTTTGAAAAAATTGAAAGTTTAGATACTAAAATGGATAGAAATTGAAAATTTATGTACTAAATATGTAATTTACCCAATTTTATTTCTTTACTAAACAAACCACACAGTGAACTTTTTGAACCGGAATTCATACTAAAATCTAAAACATACGAAATAAATCTTGACAATAGAACTTGCAACTATCTCATCAATTTAGGAAATATGTTGTAAAAAAAACTAGATTAATTAATGAAAAGGAGGCCCTTGACTAATGGAAAATTTTCATTTTTAGTCCCTCACATCCAGAATATTAAAATTTTGAGATCAGTATTCTCTGTAAATAGTTGGACATATTCAAGCAAAACATGCATCCAAATGACAAATTGATTCTACCAAGGAAAGGGATCAATAAACATAGCTTGCTACCATGAACAAGTTCAGCTTTCTCTTGTCGAACTTCACACAGTTCGATACACGATCGAGGCACGAAGCATATGCAACCAGAGTTTACAATACTGAAATACGACGAACCAGCTAAGCTCCAAGGCTCACAATAATAGACCTTCCCTATGATTATATGCTATGCAAGCAATTTTGATTTTATCCACCAGCAAATGCTTGTGCATGCAATCTGTCCGAAACGATTAACGTCCATATACGGATAACCAATTAACTGGAATGAAAATTATTTCGAGATCGGGCCACAAGTGCACACACTAAGACATTTGTTAAACAAAGAAATCTTCCGCAGCCTGTTGTGCAGTCTTACCTCACCTAACCTTCTTCTTCTGGCTTTGGCTCTGCACCGCGAGACAAATTTTCTTCCAACACCGGATAGCGATGAGTGAGGGTATCAGAATCCAGAAGCAGTTCCATAGAGCTGCCCCAGGGAGACGGCAAACTGAAGTATGTAGCTATACCCCATTCCTTTGGCGATAGCATACCTGCAGGATTAGAAAACAACATTTTACAATGAGAATAATCGACGCGGAAAGGAAAAAAGACGATAACAAATTCGATATATGGAACTGTGTATGAAGGCATGAAGCATACACTGCCAGAAGGCAAGGTGGACCTTCCAGAACTGATGTCATTCCTTCAACAGCAACAATTGCAGAATCTCTTCCTGCATATCTTGAGTCACCTTTGCTGTATTCTTTCCCTGCGATTTAATCGTATTCGCATGAATCAATTTCCCACTTAAGCACCTACAAGGTAGGAACTATTGACATTTATCATAACGTAAAAAAGGGAACTTACAAACTTCAGCTAGATAAAATCCAGTCTTGTCTTTGTAGAATTCGGGAGAGAATGCGAAATAGCCTTCGAGAACGATATGCGTAAGTCCCGTGAAAGCCCACCAGCACATGAGCAACCTATCGAGTTTAGATATGTTGCGCGATCTCCCTGGTAGAACAAGTCAATATCTAAATGAAACGAGTTTACAATCCATTAAAAACTAACATGAAGAAGACACATTGTCGATCATGTCTCGGATCAGAGTTACAATTTCTCCGGTAAATTTCTAAAATACCAAATAAGAGATGCTTCTACTCAGCTTATGGTCCACTATGAAGCACGGGGACGGCGAAGGAGCCCCGTTTCAAGTACCCGAAATGTTTTGGGGACGTCCCTGGGGTAATTACCACCGACAATAATTGCTCGGGACTAGCCGAAGGCGGAGGAGGAGCCGTTGGGACCCTCCTTCGGATTCGAACGAAAAACAGAACGGGAATGGTGAGACGGGCAGGGGGAACAAGAAGAGGAAGTCCCGATGGGCAGATGATGAGCCTAAGCCGGGGATTCAGCTCCCCTATTTCCGAAAAGGAAGGAAAGAAACAAAAGGAAGAAGCGGCCGCGGGCGGAGAAAGTAGGATTTATAGAATTTTTTGTATAATTTCCAGTTGTTCCCTGATCTTTCTAGGGATTTCGAATTTGGAAACAATTTTTTTTGTATTTTTCAAATTGGACACTAAAATTAATTTAGGGGTTTGGAGAAAATACTCAAATGTTAGGATTTTAATTAGAGTTAAATTAGGGTGTTATACCAATTTTTCTACGAAATATTGACCTTATTTATGATTTTTATAGCTATTTAAAATTTTAAAAAAATTATATGATGTACTCTAGCCGTCCCGTGTAATTTTAGAAATTATTATTTTTCGTATCCGTGCAACATTAGGTGGTCCATTTGTACCTAAACCTTTGAGGCCCTCAATCAAGAACAAACCTTTTAAGAACTGCTCAGTAAAAGAGCTCTATATGTCAAAGTAATCTATCAAGAACGAATTTTTTTTGCATCTGCTCAAATAAATAGGTTCGAACAAAATTCGACTCGAAAAACTGATTTTTTATATTCGAATTGACTTATAATTTCATAAACTCGACTAAAAAAAATTCAAATTCGAAATATTTAAACAGAGAAGCCATTATTTAAGCAGGTCCAAAAGGGTTTTTGATCTTGAATCACTCAAAAGTTTAACACCAAATTAAGTCCCAAAGAAGTGCATAGTATAACACAGTTTCAGCCTTTGAGTAGATCCAGACTCTAGCAAGTTCACGTAACGTTTTTCGAAGTACTCTTGAGAAGTAGTTAACGAGTACAAAAACGAGTCAACCCATTTTCAGATGGTGCTAAATTCAAACCCCAAAGCATCTGAAAACATAAAAATCTACAGAAACTGTACTGAAGATGAAGGTATTTTGATTAGAAACGGAGAAAAAGAAAGAGAAAGGAGGACAAACCAGAGAGCAACCAGACAAGCGAGACGACGAGGAGAGAAGAGAGGCCATAGACGCCAACAATGGTGGCCTGAGAGAGGGAGACGGGCACGTATCCGGGCAGTTGCAGATCTCTGGGCACATATGGGTGCTCCATTCTCAACCCGCCTTCTTTTGCTACTCAACAGTTCAACGACAGTTCATAACTCGATTCAACATTTACATATTCTGACCTGAAAATAAAGAGTTAATTTCATTGTATATCCCCAAATTATAACCATCATTTTAAATTAGTCCATAATCTTTTGAATATTTTTATTTTATCTCCAAGCTATGACTTTCATTTTAAATTATTTCTTAAACTTTTGAAAATTCTAATTTGTCCCTAAACTTTTAAATATTCCAACTTCATCTCCAAATTCATCCAAACATGTAACTAGTTCCAACCATAGTTTAACCTAAATTTTGCTTTTTCAAACATATAATAATATAACTTGGCCCGGGAATTAAAATAGTGATTGATTAACAGAATAACAGTCGCTATATCCTGGTCGCGGTGACGGCCAAAATCGTTACCGCAAAAAGTAGCAACAGAATCACACCAATAACAATGGATCACGACCTCAATTTAATGGATAGCGGCCAATCACGATAATAGCGAATCGTTATTACGCTATTGTTTCGCTATCTTATTTAAAAAAAATTAGTTTGTGACCGCAATAGCCGTAATGACCGCAATAGCATTCTTTATATGCGCAACCGCGATAAACTTGACAAAAAATGAGACCGCAACCGCAATTTAAATCCCTTACTTGGCCTAACGATTTTATAAACAAGAGATGTAATTAGTATATATATATAGTTTAGGTTAAAATTGGAATATTCAAAACGTTTGAGGACTAATTTAGAATGATAGTCATAGTTTATAGATAAAATTGAAAAATTTAAAAGTTTAAGAACAAATTCGTTATATGCGCAACCGCGATAAACTTGAAAAAAAATGAGACTGCAACTGCAATTTAAATCCCTTACTTGGCCTAATGATTTTATAAACAAGAGATGTAATTAGTATATATATATAGTTTAGGTTAAAATTGGAATATTCAAAACGTTTGAGGACTAATTTAGAATGATAGTCATAGTTTATAGATAAAATTGAAACATTTAAAAGTTTAAGAACAAATTTAAAATGAGAGTCATACTTTGAGAGCATGTGATACAATTAATTCTAAAAAAAGATCATATGGGTCTTTTTGAAATTTTAGAAAATATAAAGGGTAATTTACAAATTTCCTCTTTAAACATTACTCTTACTATTATTTTACTCACTGAAGTTTAAAAATTCACTTTAATCACAAAACTTTAAAATTGCTCCTATTTTGATCAATCCTCTCTTGATAGTTAACGAAATTATGACACGAAGTACGATACTAAAACGACATTAATTTAGAAAATTTAATTTTGTATGAAAACAAAGTGGTTTTAAAATTCAAAAAAAGTAAATATTAATATTGTACAGTCTTTGTAGGTTCGACATTTGATACATATTTGTGTATCCACTTTATTACTTGTACCGAGACGTATATAAAGATGTTCTCAATAAGAATGGTGTTGTGAGTGTATTTACCTAAACTTACTCTTGTGTTGTGCGTAGTCCGAGGGGTTAGCCTCGTATTATCGAAAGAAATAGACGTAAGATTTTATATCAGGGATACGTGTTTAGAAAATTATATAGGCTCAACCATGTATCCGAAAACCTATATGGAATTTGGCTCTTGGTATAATGCCGAGTGATAGAGACGGATAATAATTGTATGTGGCGAATCGGGTGGAAAGGCAACCTTGGTGGAGTCCAAAGCAATCCATACGTATTGCATATAAGGAAAGGATTATTATCTATTGTATGGCCGGTGTATTTAATAAACTAATAGTCCAAAACACTCTGATGCGTTTGCCTATGTTTGTATGCAGGACCGACGCAAAAATTTATGTCGGGGTTTAACTTAAGAAGTTATATTAAAAAAATTACGGGGTGTGGATTTATAAAATTTTAGAGGGTGCGAAATTAGATAATCAATAGAAAATACAAAGAAAAAATCTAAAATATAAGAGAATTTGAAAATTTTACGAGATGCGACGCATCCAACACTCCTTTGACCCAACCATGTTCGTATCCCAAGAGTATCTTATCCAAGTGATCATTTGGCTTTAAAAACAATAAATCCAACAACACAACAAAATTTAGTGACTCATTTGATCTCCACTACCAAAGTTCATGTCTTGGGATTTATCCTTATAAATACCAGCGCTTGTTGCCCCTTCCTCTCATCTCTTCCCACCACCTTCTCTAGTATATATGGCTAGGTTTATTGTTGCATTGATCTTCCTACAGGTGCTTTTGATGACTTCTCGAACGCAGTCCCTCGATCGGAGCCGCCTTCTTTTATATGAATTAGGCTACGATACAAACAAGTTGGAGCATTTTCGAGAGGCTTTTGCGTCGAAGCCAGGCTCCGATCGAGTCTCACCGGGAGGACCGGACCCGGAACATCATTCTAATCCGCCGGGAATGTCATAGATAGTTAATGCTTTTAATGATGTTTTGTTAGCTGAGTCATGGATCATGTATGTTAATGTCAATGTTATCATGTTGACGTGAACATAACAGAAATAAAGAAGGATCTTTTTTTGGGTGTTATTGAATTGAAGAAGTATGTATCCTCCAAGTTTTTTCCATGTGCATGGAAAGGTATGAACAATAAAGTGACACTTAAAAGAAGATAATTCTCCATTTTATCTGATTTTCACATCAAAAACATAAAATATATATGATTATGATAGCATTGGGTGCTCGATTAATCAACTCGTGTCACACATATATAATTACCACATTGTTGCCCTCCCAAAATTTTAGTAATTTACCTTGATTAATTCGGATTGATCCGTGTCATGCATCTGGTTTTTGTGGGTGAGTCTTCCAAAAAAATTTTTTAGATACATAAAGACTCGAACTCGAGACCTGAACAATTACATGTTAAGTTCATACACTTTCACTCACATATATGCAATATAACATGTTTAGGCAATGAAAACAAAATTTTGGCATCAAGCAAACAAGAACTACTCAATTCTGCTAATAACACTTGAGCATCAAAATCTATCTATTATAATTTACAAGTCAAATTAAAGTTTGCAATGAACAAGCACGAACCAAGTGGCCTCTGTGGTAAAGGAATTGTTATCATGAACGATATTAAGAGGTTGAGAGTTATCTTTAAACAAATATTGTTTTGTATTTATTTCATATCAATAAAAAAAATTTAATGTGTACAAGGTAGATAAGAATTAGGGATGACAAAAAACCCGAACCCGACGGGAAAAAACCGTTTATGCTAAACGGAGACAGGGACGGGGACGGGTTTGGTAATCCCCGCCCCGATTACCCGGCCCGATAAATATTAAAAATAATTATTTTATATATATAATATTAATAAATTTAATTTAAATTAAAAATATATATATAATATTTATATATTTAATTTAAATATATATATACCCGACCCGATACCCATTTAAATAACCGTTTATGCTAAACAGATATACCTGTTTCCCCGCAATTTTCCCCGATTACCCGATGGGGATCCCCGTTTAAATCCCCGCGATTTTTTAAGCGGGAACGGATATGAATTTTTTAAACAAAGGCGGGGATACCAATACCCGGCCCGTTGCCATCTCTAATAAGAATGACCTTTAACTTACTCATAAATTACTATTACTATTATATTAAAAAAAGACTTTTTAATCATTCAAATGATTAAGAGGGAAAAAGTACAAATTTTATAATACAAAATAATTCAAATGAAAATAGTATGGGACGTTCTTCATTCTCATAAACATCTCCACTCAAGTCTTCCTATTATGAAACTTGATTGTGATGGTATTTTCTTGAAGCTTATAAAGAGATTAATTTCAAACTAAGAAATTAACTTCAAGCATTGAACAAAAACAATATGTAGGTTTCAAACTGAACATAAAATCAAATTTAAGTACATATGTATTAGCTAAAAAGAAAATAGTAGTTTTAGGGTAGTTGTTATATATATATATATATATATATATATATGAGAAAATCGCCTCAGTGACCAAAAATGCCTTATAATATGCGATTTTAACCAACTTTTTCCGGATTTGCCAAAATGACCAACAAAATCGCAATGCGATCGTTAATTCGCAACGCGATCTCCATTATCGCAAATTCGCGTTGTATTTCGCGTTGCGATAGTTGGAAATCGCGTTGCGATGGTCTACAGTGTCGTTGCGATTTTCCCAATTCGCAATGCGAATAAGTAAATCGCAACGCGAATTGGGAAAATCGCAATGCGATACTGACTATCGCAATGCGATACTTACTATCGCAATGCGATAATACAAAATCGCAACGAGATACTGACTTTCGCAACGCGATTCTGACTTTCGCAACGCGATTTACATAGCGCCATTCGTATTAACGCGTATTTTTTTTTCAAATTCCAAACACGAATTTTTTCTTAATAAATCGGAAACTGAACCGTCCACAGTAATCGCAACTCATAACCTCAAACCCAAAATCACAACACTCAGTCCCATCTCCATCTCTCACTCTCTACGGCGAAATCCGTCCCCATCTCCGAAGATTTCCGTCCCCATCGCCGACGAAATCCCTCACAACCATTCATAGTCAAAAATCCCTCACAATCATTCAGAAATGGAAAATCAACCTCCGAGGGTTAGTTTTTTTTATTTTATTTGAAATTTTTGCATTATTTTAGGTTTTTCATATTGAGATTGATGATAAGTTTATTGGTAATTTCAATAATATATTAACCATTTCACTTAGATTTCTTATTAAATTCATTCGATTGCTGCCAATACTGCTAAACTGTTTAGCCTGTGAAGTTAGTATTTGTTTTGTCTTTTGGTTGAAGTAATGCAGAAGAAGAATAGTTTCGAGAATGAAAATCGCAACGCGGAAATAACTATCGCAACGAGAGAATCGCAACACGAAATAAAAATCGCAACGCGAAACCAAAATCGCATTGCGATTTTCATTTCGCGTTGCGATTCTCTCATTGCGATTTTCATTTCGCGTTGCGATTTTCATTTCGTGTTACGATTCTCTCGTTGCGATAGTCATTTCGCG